CTTTCAGCCAGGTGCTGATCTGTGCCAGTTCAACAGGGCTCAGGTTGTGTACCATGCCCTTTACAATCACCTCTACTCACGAGAGGCTCCTCTCATCCAGGTAGGATAGCAGAACTTAATTTAAATCTGCCTTATGGTATTGCATATCAGCCCTATGCGGGATAGGCAGCTAAAAGCATAAGGAGGCAGAACCTGTTTGCTCACAGTTCAGGTCGTTAACAGCAGATACTTGTGTCCAGAGGACAAAGTAACTAACTCAGCAGATTTCAGGAACAATGTGATGGTGGCAGCCTTGCTGAAGAGGGCCAGCCAGGGGGGAAGCAGGCAGTAGAAGTCTATTGGGGTTGCAGCTGTATGGGGCTGGAAACTGTGTGTAATTTATGTCAAAAGAGACTGCCCAGATTTCCCATCCTGCACCAGGCAGTACTGCTGTGCTTGCTGGACTTGCTGCCAGTCATGGAGAGAGCGCAGCGGCAGCAGCCCAGGCCAACCTCACCCTGTGATGAGGTGTTGCAGCTGGTTCTGACCCATATGGAGCCAGAGCATCGGCTCGCGCTGCGGCGGGTGTATGCCAAAACCCTGCCTGCCTTTGTGCAGAGGTGAGAGCAGCAACCACAACCCTGCAGGACCTTGTTTTGTCCCTGGTATACATCTCCCTCCTCAGTGTGTGCTCTGTGTCGACAGGCTTGGCATCTTGATAGCACGGCACCTGAAGAGGCTAGAGAGGGTTATCCTGGGTTACCTGGAAGTCTCTGATGGCCCTGAGGAAGAAGCCAGACTGGGAATACTGGAGACACTACAGTGCACCATAGAGCATGCTTGGCCCAGGTACTGGGGTGAAGGATGCTGCAGAAAGCATATCTGAATGGATATTGGCCCTTTCAAAGCCACATTTAGTGTTATCTGAGGCAAAGGCCTTGAAACCTGGAGGGAAACCTCTCACAGGGTGCAATCACTAGCATGACTGCATTCCTGAAAAACCTTGCCCAAAAGCTAAATCTTTATCTTTTTCCTGCTCTAGAAGTGTAACCTTGCCTAAAAAGTAAATCTATGCACTGTGTAGCAGAGTTGTGGAGCAAGTCCTTTGCTGTTCAAGTTACCTCTGTGTTCAGGGCCTGTGTCTTTCCTCTGGTGGGCATTCAGAAAAAGCCAACTTCCTTCAGCCTCATCACTGAAGCATTAGTTTCCTGTAATCCAGATTCACGTATAAATAGCCACTAACAACTTCTGCCTGGAACTGCAACGCAAGGCTGTGCTTTTGCCTGGCTCACAAAGAAGTTTTATATTAAGACATGCACGCTCTTTCCTTTTTCAGAATGCCATGCAGGCTCCCTGTGCTGCTCAAAGCCCTGCTGAAGATGATCTGGGATGTCCACACTGACCAGGGCTCAACACCAGAGCCAGTGAGAGCTGCCTTGCTCCAGAGAGCCACCGAGTGCCTCATCTTGCTGGATCGGTGCTCTGAAGGACAAGTGAAGGTGAGCTGGAGACCCAGTAATAATTTATCTCTGCTCTTCCCCCTTAAAAAAAAAACATGGTGCATGCAAGAGCCCACTTATTTCTTAAATTCAACAGTATTTGCACCCACCCTGTTAGTACTTGGCTTAATTGATAGAGGACCTGATATAGCAATGGATAATACACTTTGTATTGATCTCAAGGGCATCTGGGCACAGTCGACTGCACCATACATCTCAGTGTGCCAGGGAAATGGAAGCTGATGTTTTTCCTGTTTCAGATTCTGCTGGAAGGCGTGTACAGCTGTTGTGAGGAGAACCGTGTGCAGGAATGCATCAGGAGAGTGCAAGAGAACACGTGAGGCATGACAATGTTAATTCTGCTTTTTGTACAGTAAAATATTTTTTTTATTTAAGTTACTTTCTCCTTCTCCTCCTTTGTCTCATACCTCCCTCAAACAAGGCTTGCTTGAGTGCTCTCCTAGCCCCATGCAGGCTTCTCCAGCTTCAGAACAAAGCAGCATTGTCTCCAGTCCAGGTTATTTTGTGGAGCAGTCCTTGCTGAGCCTTACATGGTTGTAAGGAAGTTGGGGAAGTTTTCTTAAAACTACACTTTGTACAACAGTTGTACAGACTTGCTGCAATTGCCTGGTCTCAGGACAGAAATCCTTATCTCCTTTATAAAAAAAATTAAGCTACAATATTGAAAAAGCAATTTTTGATAATCCTTTTTAAAGTGGTGAAAGTTCTAATGGACACATCTGGTGTTGTCATTCAGCAAAAAATGCAAGTTCAGGAGAGTCAGGACACTTTTGTTTTGGTGGCTGGCTCTGTTTCTTCCTCATACTCTATTTCAATGTAAGGGCGCTTTCTTCTGGTCGGTCCTTTCAAAGGAGTTTTCCCCTTAGATTTGGAGCGAGATACTTTCTTCTCTGTTTCTTCCTCATCTTCCTGCTCCTCTTCACTACTTGTCTCTAACTTATCCATGTCCTGAGGAAGAAAAAGAATCAGAGCACGCTTTACAACTAAGCCTCCACTTTCTGCAAAATTATCTTGTGTATCCAATTTCATTTTATAATTCCTGGCTCCCAGCTGTCTAGCCAGAGCAAGTAGGCTGTGGTGGACACCACAAAGTCCTTCAACTGCATCATTATATCCCACAAATGTGATTTACTGGCTCTTATCCCATCACCAGAGCCCCCAGGCTGACAGAGGTTACTTTCAAACAGTTTAGCTTGATACTTTATACCTGCTGCTTCGCTTACCTCAAAGTCGCTGAGGTCACTGTCATCTGCTTCCACAAACTCTCTTTTATCTTTGTCCTGTAGGAAACAAAGTCAGAAATGGGATAAGAAATACCCCATCACAATTCACAGTGTAACAGCCATGAAGGCCACGGCCTGCCCATTTTTTTCTGTATTCACCTCTCCTGATCTGTTCTCGTCCCCAGGCACTAACACTGAACACTCAGTCTGGAAGTGAATTAGAGCTGCTGCACCTCAAGGGAGGGTTAGCTGTGATGCTCTGGTTGAAAACATTACCTCATCATCATCATCTTCCTTTTCCACGTCAGACTCGCTTTCACTTTCTGCATCTTGCTGCTGTAGGGCTTTGTCAAAGGCATGAATGGGGAAGTTGTAAATGTCTCCATACTGAAGAAAAAGAAAACAACAACAACAAAAAAGACTTTCTGTAAGCCCAGGGGGAACCAGGCATTGGTAGCAGAGCCATCTGAAGCCTGTACAGTTATGCCATACCAGGCTGAAATAGGCATTCCTGAAAAACGGGGAGCTCAGCATCTTGAGAAAGGACTGAGGCAGTAGAAGCATTTTTACAGCTGTGCTCTGAAGGCAGTGATTCTTACCGTATCCTGCTTCAGTCTCTCCAGCAATTCCTTCTCAATGGCATTATCCAGCTGAGCAGCAATCAGGGCTTTCTCCTAAGAGAGCAAAAAGGACCTGTGTGAGTTCTCTCAAAGACATGAGAAACAGAAGCAACAGACAGGAGATGACAAGAGTCATTACCTCTCTCCTCTTCTCTCGCCTTTCAATCTTTCTGCTTAATGGAACGATCTTCCTCCTGCAGAGAACAAGAGCTGCTTAATGAACCTTTCAGCCTCTTGTGTAGCAGATGGGCAAATGCTTGCTCAGAACAACAACCAGCAGCTGCATCATTAGAAATGTGGGTGTAACGAGTTTAGGTGCATCTATCTATGCATATTAAGATGCTGTTACATCAGTTTAAACCAGGTTCATTTAGAAGCTGGCTGAAGCCAGCAAGAAAACAGCACATGCTGCAGGTGCAGTGGAGCCAGGAAAGGGCTCTGCACACAGCTTGTGGCAGCAGCTCAGTGCATGAGTGACAGCTTTAAGTCAAACCAACACAATCACTCTTGGTGTCACTTACTGTCTCTTTAGAGTCAGCTTCCGGATGCGGATGAGGTACTGGGTGATCTTGGTGAACCGCTGCTTGCATTTGTGTCGGATGAACCGTGGCCAATAGATGAGATTCTCATCTATCTCCTCCAGTGCTTTCTCATAGTTCTTGCTCAGCAGGACCTGGGGAAAAGGGGAAGGGTTCAGTGAAGGGGATGCATCTGCACTTAGCAGGAGCTCGACTGTCACCTGCCTGTAGGTACATGATGGTGGAATGTGCTTGGTTAGCAGTCTGCTCTCATCAACTCACCCGCTCCCACAGCCGACGGGGAAATGGAGCGCGCTCTATGGTCTTCATGTACAGGTAACATCGGCCTATAGAGAAGAACATCACCCCCACTGAGACCTGAGCGTGGAGTGGGGCACACAGCCAGGCCCCCAGGATGCTCCCACAGGCCAAGGGCTGTGAGCAGAGGCTGCCCCAGCACTCACCCTTCTCCTCACGGATGGTTGCGTACTGGCTGTTGGCCAACGGGCAGGAGGAGCGGTTGCACAGCCCAGTCAGGTTGTATTCATTGCGACAGAAGCTCTGGGTTTTGGTCCTGGAAGGAAGAGCTGTAAGATGGAGCAGCGCATTGCCTGGGCTCGCTGCCCCTACATCCACACACACTCACCTGATCTTGTAGGAGCAGAACTGCTTGTTTCCGAGCGTGTCCCAGACAATCTGCAGGGACAAACCACAGGTCAGCGAGCACCCTAGGACCCCGTAACCCCTCCAATCCCTGGAGCATACAAGGCTGTAACAGAGGGGACCCACACTGATGCTGCAGGGAGAAGATGCAGCAAAACCAAATCCCCTTTATGCCTGCCCCAGCCACGCTCCTGCCCCCCGATCCAGGCGCCTCCACGTGTTATTTTCCCGCGGCTGGGAGGGACCGTATGAGCCGGACGCAACCGATCCAGCCCCAGGGTAGCCGCTAATTGGCTGCGGCGCGGGTGGATCGAACCGAACCGCGAGGCGGACTCACATCGTCCGAGTGCATGCTGGCGCCGAATCGCGCGGCCTAGAGCGCCGCCATCACCGGAAGGGGCGGGACATCCGGGAGGCGAGAGTCTCGCGTATGTCTCGCGAGGCTTTTTGCGAGGGTCTCGCGAGAGTTGAGGGGCCGTCATGGAGGCGGCGTGAGGGGGTGTTGTAGGGCAGCAGGGAGCGCTGCGCGGTGTGGTTCCCTCAGCTGGCGGCTGGGATGTTGCAAAACGGACATTAAATGAAGCTACTCGTTGCGATAGGTTGGGGTCACAGACATCCCGTGACCTCATCTCAGCTAAAGGCGGCTGTGGTAACGCTCTGTCACTGTAATCACAAGTGAACTCAGTGACTGAAGCAGTTTTGAAGGTTTAAAGCTTTCAGCCTTATATTTAAGTGAATTTCTCAAGAGTTCTTCACTAATGGTAGAAGGGCAGTATAAGCAGCCACGAATAGCACGTAAATAGAAAGCACAGAAGCTGTACAACAACAAACTTTTGAAAACTGCCTTCAGGTGAGCATGGAGCACATGAACAGGACAGAGCTGTCTTTATTGGATCCTGCTGGCACAGAAAGGTTTTGTGCTGGGGATTACAGCAGAACTCTGGAGGAAGAGATGTCCTGAAGCTGCTGACTTCATTTTGGTTTTCTCTGGTGCTTTTCTTCCAAAAGCAGTAAGCACTTAAAAGACATTAATGAATGCAGCTTGTGTGGGAGAGGTGTTGGTCTTATCCCTATTGCGTGGGCTGGCAGCCCAGGACAGCATGGTATCATTCTCTACATTGTATGTTTTTTACAGCTGAGATGGATTTTGAGTGACCTCCCTGGATGTCACCCAGCAAAGGGGTGGCAGAGTTGGGCAGGGAACTTCCAACTGCATTCCCTGATGTAGACTGAGTGCTAGGAGAACAGCTGAATGTACAGCCCATGTCCATCCTGTGCCCACAGGTCTCGGGTTATTCCTGGGTGCTGAGAGACACATTGCTCTATGAACTTAACATAGCTTCAAGCAGGACGTGCAGCCTTGCTGCTATTCCACATTTCCTGCCTCCACATCACTGTTGTCTGTGGGAGGGAAATCCGGCAGGGGCTTCTGAGCGGTGGAGCTTTTGGTTTGCATGGGGCATTCCTGGCTTAAAATTGCCTACATAAAGGAGAGAAGTGATGTTTTAGTAAAAACGGCCATTAATTTTAATAATAAATGGAAGTGTTACTAGCTTTAGAGAAAGCCAAAGCAACCAACAATTTTTGCCCAGGGAATACAAGTTGTCCTGGCTAATTTATCCTAATTCCCTCCGTGTCTCTCTGGATTATCAAGCTCCTATGCTTTAGGGCAATAAAGTACACTCACTATCTTCTCCTCTTTAGCAGGAGGGCTTCGCAAGAACCAGCAGAGAGGAGCATAAGCAATGTTGGTAACTCCAATGATGACCATCAGCCAGGGAAACCCAATAGCTCGTACAATCGCACCGCCTGTTGATGGACCTGCACATTTAAATATGAACAAAGGCTCAGGAGGCAGGAAAGGAGCAAAAGGTGCTCTTCCACTTTGGAGGGGATCTAAAGTCTGCAATGGCTATGCTACAGAGTCAGTGCCAGTTGCTGCCATTGGATACTGGGTGGAGGAGCACATTGAGAACAATATCAAGGATCCATACCAATTGCAAAGCCCATGCAGAAGGCAACATCTGCGATGGCATAGACATTGCCATAGACAGAGGTGTGGCGAAGGTCCACGAGGTAACCCATGATAGGCATCATGGAGGAGTCCACCATTCCTGCTCAGAGCAAGCATGAGATCATGAGGTATTACCTTTTCCCAAGGCACTGCTGGGAATTGTACAGACTGATTACTTACCTATGGCAAAGCCAAGCCCGCCATTTGGGCCAATCAACCCATAAATATTTTTTGCCAGGGGCACCTTGGAGAGGAAAGAGAGAAGGTGTGAATGAGGCCAGAAGAGCTTCAAGGTGAGGAAGCACAGCATAGTTCTGTGAAACAGATCTGTGGTGTAATCCCTGAGCAGGTCTTAGAGCTGCCCTGCAGTACTCACACAGAGCAGACTGATCCCCACCACAGCCATGCCGATCAGGGAGCATAGCCACCTGCAACGAGGACAGCAGAAGGTGATTCCTTCAGTGTATGCAAGCAGGATCCTTGCTGAGGCCACTGCTGTTCACTTACCGTCCTATTTTGTTAGCCAGGAGCCCAAAGAGATTGGTGCCAATGAGGTAAGATATGCTGGCCGGAAGGAATGCCATCCCTAGAGGAGAGAATAAAAGAGAGTGTGCAATCCCTCTGCAAATGCAAGGATCCAGCACACACACTGAGGATGTCTCTAGGCCCCATGGTGCTTCTCCTTGTCCTCTTTGTCACAGCCCCATTGCTCCTCTGTGAAGGCAGAGAGAGGCACAGAAAGTGAGTTTTCTTTCTGCAGGGTGAGAAACTGAGTCACCCAGATTTGAGACAGCTGCAGCCAACTGCAGAGCTTTCTGTCCCCATCCTTCTCTCCTGTCATCACTTTTTCCTTGTCTATCTTTCTCCCCTTGCCTTCTGCTTTTGGCTAAATAAAGAGGGATAAAATAGCTGCTTGAATGTAAAGCTTAGCAATCGTTATGAGTCAAAAGTCAATATTTGAACTGCTTGCTGATTTACCAGTTGTTTATTTTTAATATACTCTCCTGCTGACTACAGATAAAACACATCAGCTATATTTCACTGAGACAACTTCCTCGTTGAAACACGCAAAATTATGTTTAACTTTCTTTCTCCTCATTGAAAGCTACAGAACACTGTTAATTCTGCAGGTTTAGTCCAAGCTCTTCTGTTTTATTTATTCATTTTTCTCAGAATTATGGAAGTGGGCAAATGAAAGTATACAAATAATGAAGCTCTTTGTGTTTAGGAGAGCTTTTTTGGTAGAGGGCTTTGGTTGAAGTATATCTAAATGCTGACCACTCCCAGATCTCAGGTACAGTGCATCTTGGAGGTTTTTTGCTGCCAGCTTACTGCTCTCTCCCCATTTCTGGGTAACTCCAAAAATCCCTTTGATTTCAACAGTGACCAGAGCAGCTCTGAGTGCCCTGAGGTGCTTCCTTACTTTCAGCCACCTGTGTTCAATCACACAAATCAATCCTGAGCTCTTACTGGGTCGGATGCTGCTGCCTGACCACGGAATAACTTGATCAGGAGGGTTATCTCAGCACTTCTGCTCCCAGATTGCAATTCAGTTTGGGTTCTAAGTGTTGCCTGGGGTGTCCCCTAGGTTATTTCCCTGCCAACTGGATTTTAGAACAATTAGTTTTTGTTTTTATAGGACAGTGCTATCTCCATATCGCATTTTCAAGGCAGCTGGTAGTTAGCACACACCATCTCTAAATGGCTGTGTTCTGCTGAGAGCTGCTTCTGCAAAACCCAGCTGGCTGCCATGACTTTAGCCCAGCACGACACTGATCTACTCAGCCTTTCTTCCACCATTATTGCTGTGGTAGGGAGACTGATTCTATACCATTTTTTCAACAATAGTGAAAAGCACATTGTATAGCTACCACCAAGGACATTTCCAGCTGAAATTGGAGCAGCACACAGCCTGGCATCACTCTGTGGGAATACGTTTTCTTCCTTTTAAGATGATATTAGAGATATTCTGCCCATCCCGCAGTGCACAGCAAGACCTGCTCTGACCAAACTGCATCAATCTACTGCTGAGGAGTGAGGACTGCAAAGTGAAGCACCCACCAAGCTGCCATTTGGGGGAGCACATGGTTTGCATCATCCAGATGGGCAAGGTAGGCTCGAGCATGGCCACCCCCATGTTGGAGAAGCAGAGGGCTCCTGGTGGGAAGAGAATGGAAAAAATGTCTGTTTAAGGCTTCTCCTGCTGCTGTTTTGAATAGAAATAAGGAAATGGGGCAATGTGGAAATGCAGAGGTTACCTGCAGCCACCAGCACGTAGGGGTCCCGCAGCAAGGTGAGCACTGGTGTGCCTCTGGTGCTCTGATTGAGATGGGGGTTTAGGGAGCTGCAGGTGGGGGTCTAAACCACCCCTCACCTGAAGCATCTGCCCCAGCATTGTGCCCATACTCACCTCAGGGGAGACCTTGGAAGGCTGCAGAATGCAAAGCTGCAAACCTGGGAGGGGGAGGAAACAGTGCTGTTAGTATTGCTCCAAGCCAAATTTCCCTGTGGGCTTTCCTTCAGGGGGGCATCAATCATTGGCAGAGCCCCAAGAATGCAAAGCTGTGCTGTTGGGGCATCATCCAGGGAGCTGTCAGCTGGGGGATTTCAAATGGGGCATGGCCAAAATGAGACATGGAAAAGAATGGGATGAAAAAAACAACCTTCAAGCATAAGGAACCCACATTTCACTTTCCAAAGTCTCTTACATGCTCCATTAAAGATGTCTTACATTACATCTAGGCAAAGATGGTAACTGTGACTGTAATTTAATTAGCTTAATACTTCCCACTAAAAATGTGTGTTTCTGCTATCTGTAATTCTGAATGCTGTCGTGGCCTGAATCTGTAACACAGCTACAGAGAGAGAGTAGGGATTGCCATTCACTGGCAACATCCCATTTCTTTGTATTATGATGAAGATGCTGCAGGCAGCACCACACGTGCCTTCTGCAGAGAAATTCTGTTCAGAGAGCTTGGCTGATGTGCTATTTGAGCCATTAAAGCAATCAAGGGGGTCATTAAGTAATGAGGGACTAATTCTTACTGTATTGCTATGTCACACGTCTGGTGGTGAGAAGCATATGGTTTAGCAATAATAGAGTAACTGATGCTGTATTAATTGTGAGAGGCCTGAGAAGTTCTTCTTGAGATGGGCTGCATTTCTGTCTTTCCATGTCCTTTGTCTATGGTTGGGTGAGTTGTTTGCTTTTGGGTTGGGTTAACTATGTGGCCCCTCACCTCCATCCAGCAGGGCTAAGAATGCCAGGACCAGGAAGGGGGAGGCTTTCCCCACAAACTCGTACATCACACTGCCAAATGGGGCCCCAACTGCAAGGGAAAGGCTGTGTCACCACTAAAGCAACTGGCTTTAGCCCAAACCCACATCTAATGATGGACTATATTGGTGGAGCCACTGGAAGTGGATGGGGAGCAGAGACTGAGACCCCCACCCCCCACTCCAGGGCTGAACCAAGGATGCTCAGCAGCACCAAGCAGCAAAGCATGGGGATACTGTGGGTATAAAGCCCCAGGCAGCCACAGGTCCTTACTCAGCACACCCAAGGCCAACCCTCCAAGAGCGATGCCCATGGCGTTGCCTCTCTCAACGTCATCTGTGTAGATGCTGGCCAGCATGCCCAAGCCTGGGAGCAGAGAGAACCTGAGGTGATGACTGAACCCAGCTGGCATAGGGCTTCACAGCATGCAGTGACCCAACACGCTCACCTGCAACTGATGAGAAGGAGGAACCAATGCCTTGTAGAGCACGAGCGATGAACAGCAGCGTATAGGTGCCAGAAAATGCAAACACTGCAGGAGGAGAAACACAGTGCCCAGCAGAACTGCACATCTAAAGCCCTGCTAAGGTGCAGCAGCAACCACTTGTGCCCAGCCGAGTCCTTCCCTGTCCCCAGCTTCTTATGCATGGGGGCAGAGCAGGTGGTTGTCTTCTTTGCTGCTTTCATTTTGGGGCATCCTGCTGTATGTGAAGGGCAAATCAGGGGTGGTACTCACTGAGTGTGGAGAGGAACATGATGACGAAACCAATGAACATGGGAATGTGGTATCCTATCCTGAAATGAGAAAAAAATATGTCTGGTAGAGCTATGCCTATGTGTATTGAAATGTTCTGATGTGATGTTGAACACAAGTGAGGCTTATTTTATAATGCAAGCTTGCAAACCATTTGTAGGCTCTTAAAAAAGGCAAAACTCATTCCTATTGTGGTGCTTGCACTCTCCTCTTTGCTATTGTCTCACCGGATTCCATCATTATGTGACTGCAGATCTTTGCCACTTGACTAGAAAGCAGTAGAATTGCAGACGTACCTGTTGGTCAGCAGCCCCACGCTGGGGTTGACCAGGAGCTGGACGAGAGCCTTGGAGGCAAAGAGCAGCCCCACACGCATGTTCTCCTGAGTGAGGAATTCCTCATCCTGTGGGCAGCCGTTGGGTGATGGGGAGCTCATGGAGGGATGCTGTGGGTGCCTGGCGCTGGTCCCTTTCTGCAGCCCTGTAGTGCTGGGGGAGCCCAAGGTCATCGTGGTGCTGGTGTCAAAATAGGAGGACATGGGGGAGAAAGGAGGATCTTCGATGGCTGAGGGAGGTGACTCAGGTTGATGCGGGGCAGCAGAGCTGTTGGCACCTTCGTATTCTATTGTATAAAGGAAGGTGGGGATGATAGGCACTGGGAAAAAAGCCAAGGAGAGTGTTCATCAGTTGGTTGGCTTGACTTTATGGCTCAGCATGCATATGAACTGGATGGTGCTAGCTCAGTGTCGATGCTTGGATGCTCCTTCACCCATCCTTCCCCATGGCTGTCCCCACTGCTCTTACCTTCCCTGTCCCCGCACCCATCCCCACTCCTGTTGCCATGCCTGTGCCCAGCATGTGCTGACAGCTTTCTGCAGCCACCCCTGCAGTGCACACCCTACCCACAACGGTCAGCAGCATGTTGTCCAGCAGCAGTGCGACGAACACCACCACCAGTGCCAGCCTCCGCGATGCCCGGCCCTGTGCCAGCCAGCTCTGGGATGTGGGGATGGCTGCTGGGGACATTGCTGGGGCTTGGTCCCCTGGCTCCACTGTCAGGGCCAGTGATGTCCTGCAACCTTGGGAGAAGATGCTGTGGGTTAGCACCTCGCTCAGGTTCATGACTTCTTTCTTATCTCCTACGTGAGCTGAGAAGCAGAGAGTTCCAGCTTTGCTCTCAAAAACTACACTTTTATCCAGCTCACGTTTAGTGCTGCATTCAAGAGATGGAGTGCTCCCCAGCCCTTTTCCATTCTCTTGAGACGTCCCTGCTGCAAGCATCATCTCAGTCTTCCTTCAAAGACTCAAAGCATAAATCAAGCTGGTAGTTTATCTGTGCTAATCTCTACATCTTGTATTCCATGTTTGTTCTTTGGAGATTAAATTGGGTCTCAAAGGAAATTTATTCACTTTGCATGTCTTTTCATTTGACCTAATAGAAATGTCGCAGCAAGATGCAGGACTTAAAGCCTAACGTACAGGATTAAGGTTGGGACTTGTTCAGTTATACTGAAATATCCATCAGAAGTCTGTACCGAACCAACTTATCAATTAGCACTTGGGTTCCTATAGCTTGTGTTTGCTTCAGCAATAAAGCAGCAACATGAGCAGAGCAGAGTCTGAGCTACAGCTGCCTCCAACACTCCTGTGGTTTCCTGACATTCCAGGCAGTGACATTTATCATTTTATTCCTGAAGAAAAGAGTACAACCTCCAAACCCTCTATCATCTGATCTGAGTGCCATGCAAGTCACTAACTTGAAAAAGAGTGTGGGCTTCTCATCGTATCCGAGCACCTCCAAGCAATAGCAAGGACCAAATAATATAATTAATGCAAGAAAATAGATATATTTAAGTATAAATCACCAGGAAGCAGGAGTAAAGAAGCATGGAAAATAAAGACAGGTAGGCTGAAGCTGCCCTGAATCTCAAGACCAAACCCCATCCCTCTCAATGCAAACTTGTTGCACGTAGCACAGCGACAGAGCCCTTACCCCTGGATGCATCCCAGTGTGCAGAGCTGGCAGTGGAGTGCCTGGAGCTGCTGCTCCCAGGGAATTTATTGCAGCTCTTATCAGGAGAGGGTATGAGCATCTGTCTTCCATGGAGATGTAGTTGCAGCCCTGCAGCTCCTCCTGCGTCAGAGCAGGATGGGGGGACAGGGGCTCCTTTATTGTGTGAGTCAGGATTTGATAGAATCATAGAATTGTTTGAGTTGGAAGGGACCTTTAAAGGCCATCTGGTCCAACTCCCCTGCAGTGAGCAGGGACACCCACAGCTCCATCAGGTGCTCAGAGCCCTATGCAGCCTGACTTTGGGTGTCTCCATCTTACACTTCTCTGGGCAACCCGTTCCAGTACTTCACCACCCTTATCATAAAAAACCTTTTCCTTATATCCAATCTAAATCTCTCTCCTCTTTTGGTTTGAAACTTATTTCCTCTTGTCCTATCACAACAGACCCTGCTGAAGGATCTGTCTCTTTGGCACAGGCTGCACAGGGAGGTGGTGGGGTCACCATCCCTGGAGGTGTTCAAGAACTGTGGGGATGTGGCACTGAGGGACGTGGTTAGTGGGCATGGTGGGATGGGTTGGGGTTGAACTTGATGATTTTAGTGTTCTTTTCCAACCTCAGTGTTCCAACCCCTTTCATTCTGTGGTTCCATTCTGCCCTTGAAGCCATTTGCCTGGCTTTTGCATGGCCAAAACCCGCAGTCAATAGCATGAAAAAAGCACATCCCTCTGAGTAACAAACACGAGGGCGGAAGCTGAAGTCTTTAAGTACATTTCATGAACTGAGAGCCGAGCATGGAAATGACTTTCTGACCATCCGCAGAGCTCCGCTCCCACCTACCGGTGAGTTCAGACCCTCAGCCAGCACTGCTGGGAGCTCCGGCTCCTCCAGGCACAGAGGGACTCGTGGGGATGGCCATCACTGCCACCTCCTTATCCCCACAGAGCCCGAGGTCAGGGCACCATCCCTTTGGCAGCCAAGAGTCTGCAATGCCATCCGTCTGCATTGGGAATATTTGCTCATTTCTGCTTTGGAAGCATTTCCATGCATCCATCAGATTTTTTTTTTCCAGGCAGCTGACTTCTTTTTTTAACCATTTTTTTTCCCCCCTTTTTAACCCTTTTTTTAAAATTCATTTTTTAACCCACGACAACCAGTTCTCCTCGGGCAGCTGCAGTGAGGTGAAGCTGTGCCCACTTTGGGTTTTCCATCCTCCAAACACACACAGCTCTGCAGTGGCTCCTGGGAAACACACTTCCCAGTATTTCAGTGTTAGCACAGGGAGAGATGGAACACGGTTTCTAACATCAAATCCACCTTCCTGCTGAGCAGAGAGAGCAAACACCAATGATTAAAATTTAACGTGTATGAGGAGAGAAATAATCCATGAGGAAACAGAAGTTGACACACTAATGGTTTCCTTAGGGGGGGAGAGGGGGGAAGAGGGAAGGCATTTACAAATAACCCACTGGCTATTTTTTTATTAAATTAAACGTTTGATTTACTTTTTCCTCTTCCCTTTTTTCCCCCTTTATTCCCATTTCTTCTCTCTCTCTCTTTTTTTTCCCATTTCCCATTTTTCTTTCTCTTATTTTTCTTCTTTTTCCTTTTTTTTCTTTTTTTCTTCCTTTTCCTTTTTTCTTTTTCTTTCTTCTTTTTTTCTTTTTCTTTTTCCTTTTCTTGTTTTCTTTTTCCTTCCATTTTTCCTTTCTTTTTTCCTTTTTCTCCTATCTCTTTTTTCTTTTTTTCTTTTCTTTTCCTTTCTTTTTTTTTTCTTTTTTCCATTTTATTTTCTTTTCCTTTTCTTCTTCTTTTTTTTTTTCCGTTTTTTCCCCCTTTCTACTTTTACTATTTTCTTTTTCTCTGTTTTTCCTTGACCCACTTCCTTTTTCTTTCTTTTTTCTTTTATTTTTTTTTCCTTTTCCCTTTCCCTTTCCGTACCCCCTACCCCTTCCCTTATCTTTACCATTACCCTTACCCCTTCCCTTACCCTTACCCTTGCTCTTACCCCTTTCCATACCCTTTTCTTTGCCCTTACCTTTATTCTTGCCCTTGACCTTACCCCTTCCTTTTCCATTGCCCCTTCCTTTACCCTTACCCTTGTCCCTTCCCTTGCCTTTACCCCTTGACTTACCCTTTCCTTTGCCTTTGCCCTTTCTCTTACCCCTACCCTTGACCTTGACCTTACCCTTACCTTTACCCTTACTTCTTCCCTTGCCTTCTGACCTTCTTCTGACCTTGACCTTGCCCTTGCCCCTATCCCTATCCCAACCCCTATCACTACCACTATCCCCCATCCCCATCCCTATCCCTATCTCTATCCCCATCTCCACATCTCCATCCCCATCCCTATCTCTACCCCATCCCTACCCCTATCCCTATCCCTACCCCTACTCCATCCCTACCCCTACCCCTACCCCTACTCCTACCCTCACCCCCCGCCCCCCCCGCAGCACCCTGGCCAGCTCCCTCCTCTCCCCTACGTTCCCCCCCGTTCGGGCGGGGCGCAGCGGCTCTATATCAGCGCATGCGCAGCAGGCCTCCCAGCTGGAACAGCGCACAAGATGGCGGCGGTGGCGGCGGCGCGGGGGATGATGAACGGCGCCGGGCTCGGCGGGGCGAGAGAGCAGGCGGCGGCCTTGACGAGGGACTTCCTGTCCCAGCCGCGCCTCAGTGAGTGCGGCCGGGAGCGGGGCTGCGCGTGAGGGGCTCGGGGCGATGGAGAAACCTTTCCCGGCCTTTGGGCCGCCTTGGGCCGGAGGGGGGCTGTGGGGTGAAGCCGTGGGTCGGGTCTGCGGTGGGGAGGGAGGAGGGGGGGGGGGGGGGGCGGTGGGCCTTTCGTTGGCGTTTCTTTCCCCTGGGCAGCGGCTGAGTGGCTGCTGGATGTCACGACCGCTTCTCTGCTGCTTGATTTTGAACCACCTGGTGTGAAATCCAAAAGAACCATCGCAATTCCTTCCCATCCCCCCCCCCCCCCCCCCCCCCCCCCCCCCCCCCCCCAGTGTCTGCTGCTCTGCTGGACCCCAAGCTGTGGCTTCAGGCAAGGTTGGCATCTTTGCAGATCCCAGTTTATCTGCTGGATGTGGAAAACACCGCGTTTTGCTCGCTTTTGGGGTTGTCATGGAGCTGCTCAGTCTCTGCACATGGGAGCTCTGAGTCTCTCGAGCAGTTTTCAAGGGGAATCGGTGCTTTTTGGTATCAAGGATGTCGTTTCCTCGTTGATGGGGCCTGCCCTTCGCTGCTGATTGAGGAAGAAGCGCTCACGAGGCGGTCATGGGACAGGCTGTGTTGCTCAAGAGAACCTTTTCCATTCCTGCAGCCATCGCTGAGAGCCCTCTGCAAATCCTGGGCCTGCAGAATGGCCAGAGTTGGAAGGGACCTCAAGGATCATGAATCTCCAACACCCCTGCCACATGCAGGGCCACCAACTTCCACATTTAATACCAGACCAAGCTGCCCAGGGCCCCATCCAACCTGGCCTTGAACACCTCTAGGGACGGGGCATTGGCCCATACAGGTGACAGAGCCTTGTGTGCTGGTGACAGGCATTTGCTGCCACATCTGATGGTATTCGGCAGGATTTTGATAACTGAGACAACAGGAGTTCCTCCTGAGACCGCTTTGCACCACCACCTCATGCTTTATCTAATGCAGCCTTGATTATTGCTGCTAAGAGATTATATTGCAACAGTTCAAAGTTGCACTTTGTTGACAGTATACAATGCGAACTGTGTGTGCCAAACTTAACAGCTTCTCGCTGTGCCCAAGCCAGGTGATTACCAGTAGCTCCCCATTGGTGAGGTTTGTGCCCTTTTCCTTTGCCTTACAGCATGCCAGCAGTAAGTGCTGCTCTTTTCTGCTCTGCAAATGGCTCCACTGCCTCATCTTTCCATGTGATTAACAGCCACTCGTGATCACTGCTCCCTCATGATCCTGATAAAGCTTTGACTCAGTGTTACTTCTGTCTGAGGGTAGGTGATGCTGAGCTGTACTGCGATGCTGTGTGTCCATAGGGCAGAGCTGTTTGCTGTGTTTTTCCCAGCTTTTCTGCTGTGCTGATAGCACAGGAATGAATTCTAATTTCTGGGTACACAGGTATTTCAGAGAACAATGTGTAGTGCTGACACATGAGCTGCTGATGTTTCAGGTGTGAGCCTTATGGTGAGCTGTAGTCATGTATCAAGTGTCATGGGATAACCCAGAAGTAAGAGTAGTTTGGCTAAAGTGAAGTTCAACATTTTGTAGTGTGGTCTATTGGCCTTTTCTAGGAGAGAAGAAAAGAATTAAAAGGTTTTGTCTTAGCAGTATTGTTTTCAGCATGCCAAAAAAAATGTGCTTTACCATAGAAGTTCTGCTGATCAGCTTTTAATTGCAAGTCCTGCTTGAATGGCTTTCATCTGGGTCATTGCAGTGTCATGGAGCAGGAGATGTGTGGTTTAAGAAAGAAAAACCAAAAAGGGAAGTTCAGTGTTGGTGTGAGGGTTATGTCTCCATTTTCTGGGGGCACAAATTACAGTTACAACCATGACCGCTTTATCACATGTTACAGTGGTTGTTATCTCTACTATGTAAATATCTTGCAACCGTGTATTTCAGCTTTATTTGTAGTGGTGTTTCTGGTGGTGGCAGCATTCTGATGAACTCCAAATACAGGCTTGCAACAATGAATTTCTAACAGACAGGAAAATGTCCATCATATCTCAATGTCAACCTTGACTGCTTTGCAGCAGTGACAAAAATGTTGGCAACACAACTCAGCACCTCATCCTTCTTGTGGGGCTCCTAAGAAACAGAGCAATACAGAGCTCAGCCCCACAGCTGCGAACCTGAGACTGAGGAATTGAAACTTTGAAAACTAGATAAGGGGAATTTGTGCTGTTCCAATGAAGTATCTGATTTGTGGCTCTTTCTTCCAGCTTATAAAACTGTGTCTGGTGTGAATGGCCCCCTGGTTATCTTGGATCAAGTGAAGGTAAGGATGAAGAACCTTAATGAATGAAGCTATCAAGAGAGATTTTGCAGGAAAAGCTGTAACAGGTTGAATGTTGACTGTTGTGAAATTCATGCATCTCCTGAGCAATTTAAATACAAGGTTGGTTTCTGACTGCTGAAATAAATGAAAACAAATAGCAGTGCAGCTAAAGAGTTGCACTTATGTCAGAAGAAAGGGATGAATAGCTGAGGCTGTTGGGGAAAGAAAAGAAACATTGTTCCAGTTCTGTCAAACAGCTCAAAATGTAATCTAAACTTAAGTAGACAAACATGCATAATCATTTTGGAATGATTTTTTTTTTCTGATGATAAAATTATTAAGACAAACAAAAAAAACCCCTAGGTAAGTGCTAAGTTAGGCTTGTCTGCAGCTGCTGCCTTCTGTTTCACAGCTGTACTTGTGAGTTCTTAATGTTTTCCATTCTCTTTCTTCCTCATTTTCAGTTTCCTAGGTATGCAGAGATTGTCCACTTGACTCTTCCTGATGGCACCAGAAGAAGTGGGCAGGTTCTGGAAGTCAGTGGCTCCAAAGCTGTGGTTCAGGTGTGTATGGGGACCAGATCATCTCTTGATACAACAGAAGAATACTTTGTGAATCAGCATGTCTGAATTGCCAGATGTCTTGTGATGCATTCTGTTGGTACTATAAGCTTAAAAAAAAAAAACAATGCTACTTATTCCAAGTTTAAAATCGTATGAATAATTGTAGACTGAAAACTGGATTACAGAATGACTTTTTCCTATATTCCTTCAAGACCCTGATTAATTTGCAGCTAGATAAAGGGAATCATGCTGTGTTTGTATAATATTGGGTTCAGGATCAGCTGCTATGCGATGTGCATGTAGGTATTTCTTCTAAGCCACTGTTTGTTGCTAATGCTAATTCTTATCTGAATAACTTTACGCTGCTGGCAAAGGAAAACACTTAAGATCAAAAGAATGGCACTGGGTCTGTTGGTTGCTGCTGATATACCTCATGAGTTTATTAAAGTAGGTTTTGATGTCATGCTTTGTACCAGTGAGCTGCTTTTGAAATCCTTTGCTGGCAGGGGACTGCCTTGTTTTTTCTCCCCTATGGCTGATCAAGTTCTCAAGCTGTGAAGCAGCGTTCTGGTGCATTATTTTGTGAAGCACAATTCTTATTCCTTCCTGGTTATTTTTGTGGGGTTTATTTGTTGTTTTTCTTTTTAATTCCCCTGCTATCTTTACAGGTATTTGAGGGCACTTCAGGTATTGATGCTAAGAAAACATCCTGTGAGTTTACTGGGGATATTCTTAGAACCCCTGTCTCTGAAGATATGCTTGGTGAGCACTTGTTTCTTTCTTTAAAGAATGAACAGGCTTATTGCCCACTATCTTATTTTCTCAGTAACTATCACTTCTATTTTATTGCTGTTTCTTGTAGGCAGAGTATTTAATGGATCAGGAAAACCTATAGACAGAGGCCCCACTGTTTTGGCTGAAGACTTCCTGGACATAATGGGTATGTTCTTCATCTCTTTCTGGTATGGAGGTAGAAGAAAATAATTGTCTTAAGTGATACTTGGAACCTGTTCATGGAAATATATGTCAACTCCAAAGATTACTTGGCCTGAAGGTGTGGTTTGCAGCTTTTGACACGAGCCTTGGATCATTGCTCAAAATCAGTGGTAGTTTGATCAAGTGTTGAACAATGTGTGTTTTCTAAAAATCTACCAGGTCAGCCAATCAATCCCCAGTGTCGAATCTATCCAGAAGAAATGATTCAGACTGGCATTTCTGCAATAGATGGAATGAACAGCATTGCCAGGGGGCAGAAAATCCCCATCTTCTCTGCTGCTGGCTTGCCCCACAATGAGGTGGGTATTCAGAGCTGTTTTTAAAACTCCTGAAGCAGTTTGCATTTCTCTAGGGTTAAGGAATGAGCAAGTTAAATTCTTCATCAAATGTGCAGATGCACTGAAGCTTTTTTATCTCCCTCCAGATTGCAGCTCAGATCTGTCGCCAAGCTGGCTTGGTGAAGAAATCCAAAGATGTGATGGATTACAGTGAAGAAAACTTTGCCATTGTGTTTGCTGCTATGGGTGTAAGTCAGTAATATGAAGGATTTAAGTGCAGAATGTTGAAGTCTGGTCTGAAACTGATGCTTTAATTTCATGATTTAGGTGAACATGGAAACTGCTCGGTTCTTCAAATCAGACTTTGAGGAAAATGGCTCCATGGACAACGTGTGTCTGTTCTTGAATTTGGCCAATGACCCAACGTAAGTAGTTAGAACTGTGTTGATTGGGAAAAGCTGAAAAGAACAAATAAACTAGAAGCCACAGTCTCACTATTGATCTGCAGATGTGACACTGACATTGTGCAGTTAAGTGGAATATGAAATGCTGGTATTCCAGTTGGTGCATCTTGCAGATTTTTCAGAGGGTTTTAATGTGTTTGTGACTTCAAACTGTTCCTCTGTGGCCTTGAAGTACCTGCCATAAATATGCCATGCTGTTCTGTTTCAGCATTGAACGCATTATCACACCTCGTCTAGCTCTAACAACAGCAGAGTTCTTGGCATATCAGTGTGAGAAGCATGTGCTGGTCATTCTGACAGATATGAGCTCCTATGCTGAAGCTCTGCGAGAGGTATGTGTTTATGAACTCACATGCTGAGTGTTGCCAGAAAGAGTTCATATATAAAGTGAAAATGCAAGCTTTTGCTCCAACTGTTACAATTAGTATTCCTTACAATGTTCTTAAATTAGCCAGTGAGGCTTTTAGTTGCTCATTGCTCACCTGGAATTGTGGTTGGTAGTCAGAGAGTTTCTCATATTTGAATTTAATTCATGACATTCAGCAGTTTAACATTTCTGATTTGGCTTGGCGACAATTGGGGTAACACATTTCTCTTTGTAGGGGTTTGTGTGTCTGTATCTCAGTACTACTTGCAGGAAGAGGAACTCTCAGTGACTTGTGTAGATTAATTAGGGGAGATAGCAGGTCTGTCAGAGTGATCTTGGAAATTCTTTTCTCAATCCTCTCAGGTTTCAGCAGCTAGAGAGGAGGTACCTGGCCGTCGTGGCTTCCCAGGTTACATGTACACTGACTTGGCTACTATATATGAGCGTGCTGGGCGTGTGGAAGGCAGAAATGGCTCAATTACTCAGATTCCCATTCTTACCATGCCTAATGATGGTAAGTTATTTTGTTTTTTTAATAACTAGTACATGAAATGACTCCTTCAGCACAAACAGAAAGATGGGAGTCCTGTGGCCTTCAGGTTTTCGTTTGGTAGTGCAGTTCTTGGCTGCTGTCAGTATCATTAAGAATGCTTTGTCATTTCAAGACTTCAGGGCTGTTCTCTTGCCCCCTGCCAGGAGAGCTTACAGCTCTTGTGTAAGAGCACTTAGTGTCATATGGGAGTATTCACTGAGGGCATTTTGCTATAGAAGTCATTTAACAATTTGAAAAAAAACCTGCCAGTTCACTGCTGGAAAGGATAGAAAAGGTTTGAAAACTGTCATACTGTCATTCTTTTTTTTTTTAATAAAGATATTACTCATCCTATCCCTGACTTGACTGGATACATCACTGAGGGACAAATCTATGTGGATAGACAGCTGCACAACAGACAGGTGTGTACCACAGTGGTTGGAACACATTTAAGATCACTTTCTTGCTCTTTCAAGTATTATTATTAATTATTTCTTTGTTTCTCTCCTCAGATTTACCCACCTATTAATGTACTGCCCTCCTTGTCTCGACTGATGAAGTCAGCTATTGGAGAGGGCATGACCAGGAAGGATCACGCAGACGTATCCAACCAACTGGTATGTAAAAACCTCTTCAGGAAGGAAGAGGCATATTTCAAACAGGCTTCTTGCTAATCAACCTTCACCTGGGTGCTCTGTAGCCTTCTGAGTCACCTTCACTTGATTCTCCGCAGCATGAAATGTGTGTGCTGTGTGATGTAGAACACCTAATGTTCTCAGCAGTTACTGCATAAATTGTTCCTTTCTATATTAACCACAGACTGAGTTGTTCTTACTTTATTGGTCACTGTGTAATATAATGACGTTGGCTTGAGCTCTCTAAGTGACTTCTAATGTCATCCTTCCAAACGACCACCTCAACTGCTGTTAAGGTAAAAGCTCTTCTGTTTCGGTCCCTTTTAGTATGCCTGCTATGCTATTGGGAAGGACGTGCAGGCTATGAAGGCTGTAGTTGGTGAGGAAGCTCTTACCTCAGATGATCTTCTTTATCTGGAGTTTCTGCAGAAGTTTGAGAAGAACTTCATTGCTCAGGGTAAGTGTCAGTTTCAAGAACATCACAGTACATATGAACACCTAGAAGGTCTTGTTTTGAGAAATCCCTGCTCCTGAGACACTTTCCTGCCCCATATTTCAGTCTGTGATTGATTTCTGTAGGTCCTTATGAAAATCGTACTGTTTACGAGACCTTGGACATTGGATGGCAGCTTTTGCGAATCTTCCCCAAGGAGATGTTGAAGAGAATTCCCCAGACAACACTGGCTGAATTCTACCCTCGAGATTCGACTGCAAAACACTAGCCAGAACTTCATCTCCAACTCCTTGCTCTGTGAAATGCTGTTTGTTTTCCTTTTTTTCATGTGTTGATGTTTACTTGTCGCCCTTATAATTAAAACCAAGAATAGGTGACATTTGTGCCAGTGTTCCAATGTACACTGATACCAGTTAAAAATATCCCTTCTTCCAAAGCCTGGATCTTCAGGAAGACCTTTAGGCCAGCTCTTATGTATGTGCAATAGCTATTGTTAAGCTTTTCTTTCTTTTCTTTTTTTGAACTGGACCTTCTGTAGACATTTCAGATGAATGTCTGAGGATTACCAGAAACTGCAAATCTTTAATTTCAAACCAGGAGCACGTGGCTTAGAAAACATGAAAGAGTAAATGTGACTTAATGTCCAAAGCATCTGCTCAGTTTGATCACGTGCAGTTGCCTTGCTGCTGGTAGAACAGATGGCTCTCTGCTGTCCTGCTGCTTTGCCTGAAGACCAGGCTAACATGTGGAAAATGTGGTACAGAATGGCATATCTTTGGAAAATGCAAGTCACTGATTTAACTGTGGTTTAAAATTCTTAAAGGGATGCATGAAGTAAAGACACTAGTGAGCACGCTAAGTGCTTTTCTGCTAGCAAGGGCTCATTGCAGAGGTCACAGGCCAGTGGGTCTCTACCTGAAGGCAGCATGTTATGGCTGAATTAAAGGTTCCAAATTGTAGTTTGCAAAGAAAGATTCCTACTTCAACTTTTCTTTTTCATTCTGGCAATGCCAGAAAAGTGTGACAGCAGCTAAAGCGTTCGGAGATCTGTAGTGTCCCAATGGTTAAGACTGGGTAATTCAAGGCTCCATGCTGCTTCTGAAGGGGATTATATGAGATGTTAAAAAAACAAAAACAAACAAACAAAAAACCCCTCTTTATGGGAGACACAATTGTACTGGTGGGAGGTCAGCTTTTAAAATGCATTGGACTGAACAATGCAACAGCAGAAAGCAAGCTAATGTATGAATGGATATTGAATTCTGCTACAAAGCTTGCTGTAGGTGGCGCTGGGTCCTGAGTCGTGTTCGGAGCTGTTGTGGTTTGCACTCCAGGCACAGATTTGGCTAGCCAGGAGAGCTCAGCATTCCCAAACACTGCGAACTTGGCTAGTCTCTTCAGTGTTATTTCTTACTTTAAATTAGTTCAGACGAGGCTCAGAGCCCAGTGCTGGCAGGCTTGCTGGCTTTTTTTTTTTTTTTCTTCCAGGCTTAATGTAAACTTATCTCTGGTCTAGCTCACCAAAGCATGTTGCACCTCTCTGAACGCCTTCAGTGCTTGTCTAGGAAGGTGCTAACGTGACTCGAATGATAGCGTGCTAATTCCAGCTTTCCCTGATGTTTTCTGTGTGCAGTTCTATGGTTTGTTCAGTGTTCTCTGTAACTTGGACACAATAGTAACTTTATTCCAGTGCATTCCACTCTAAAGCTGTGTCAAGTCTATTTTTTTCTTGAGGAAGGGATGGGAGGTTGCAAGTGTTGGCATGAGAATACTTTAATGTAGAGAATATCTAAATAAATTAAATGTGGAAGGTGTTGAACAAAACAAATTTCTGTTGTTCTGTGGTTAGAAACAACTTGGGGTCGTTCTGCAATGGCTGAGCTGTCCTTTGCCACCAAGGTTTCTGTTTACACAAATGAAAATTCTCCCTAGTCTGCTGAAAACAAACACTTCAGCTGTCTGCAGTGAGGGCCACTAGAGCCACATGCTTTGTTAGTAGAGCTGGTAGCTTTTGGGGCTGGAGATTTGGCCTTCAACTTCAGGGCTGAATGCTTTGTGCTGCTGAGTGGGTGGCTGGTGCAATCATTGTGTGATACCACGTTTCCACATGAATCTCAATTGGTAGTTTGTGCTGGAGGAGACTGGGAAACCTCCTCAAGAGGCTGCTGAAGCCTGATCTTAAGGGGTGTGTTGACTCTGCTCTTTTCTGTATGAGTGGTGCTATGAAGGGCGAGGGGGAGCTGTGCCCTGGGTGTGTTTATTCTGATATTCTGAGGCTGTCTTCAGTCTTTTCCTATAAAGTGTTCTACCATGCTGCAATTCAAGCTGCTGCTTGTGCGGAAGCACAAGAAGTCCTTGAGGGTAGATGAAGACATTACCTCACTCTTTAAAAACTCTTTTAACTGTCCAGGCTGGTTCTGACAGTTGCTTTTTTTTCACTAGGAGAGACACAGAGTTAGAAATCCCATCTCCTTCAGCATTAAGAATGGCTTTGTAATTATTCCACAGGGTTTGAGAGAGATTCAATGCTATAGAGGAAGAAAAATGTAGTAAACTAGAAACATGTCTTCAAAAAGGTTGGGAACAAATCTCAATGTTTTCTACACATTCAGCCAACTCAGCTCACGGTCACTTTTTTGTCTTGAGGGAGAGCCTGTGGTTAAGGCATGCGAATAACTGCATTAGCAGAGGGCAGCAAGCTGAAAACACGAGGTGGAAGTCCAGTGGATTCCTGAAATCCTTCAGTGGTGGTGAGGGCTGAGGACAAAGGTTGAGCAGCATTCCTGCGGGCGGTGAGCGCGGCGGAGCGAGCAGCTGCTTCTCACAAGGTACCTGCAAATATGTGCATGGGTAACACAGCCCCTGCTCCTTGCAAACAATGTAGAACAAAGTGAAGGGAATTTTGCTGCTATACTTGCTGCAAATCATCTCTACTTCTTTGCAGCCAGTGGGAGCAAAGGGGAAAAAAAATGAGATGTATCTGCTCCGGCACAAGGCTCAGACATGCAGACAAGCCTTAGGGTGACAGTGTGGCTGGTTCAGGCCAGACAAAGGTTTGGGCTGAATGTAAATAGTGAGGGTGGCTTTGTGCTGAGGATGAAACAGCTGCTGAGTGCAGCTTAGCCCCACAGCCGTGTAGTGGCACTGCTTGCCTGATCTGCTCATGCTGCCAAGTGAGTGGAGAGGGGATGGAGCGAGCTGCAGCCTGGTGGCTCCAAATCAGCCCTGTTACTGTGCTCCTGATGAGCAGGGCTGCTTCAGACTCTAAATCACCTGGAAATGGTTGTTTTGCTATTAAATATTCAGCGGTGCAAAAGCTGTTTCAGAAATTATTGGTCCCACTGGAAGCAGCTATCACACAGCAGTGATTTCTGGTTTGCTTGGCTGCCAGCGCCTGTAAATGCAGTGAGTTTCTGAGCAGCGGGGCAGGGCTGCTTTGCCTTCTCTTGGCTTTCTGAGCTCTAGGGCTGTGCTTAGAGGCACCAAAGTGGCCTGCTGGGGCTCTTCAGCTCTGACCTGTGTGAGTTAGTTCAGGGTTACTTCTGGTTTTAATGGGGTATATTTGCCTGGCAGAGCTTTGGTGACAGCATCCAGTTCAGATTTGCCCTCATGCACGTGGGCAGCCAGGCTGTGCTGTGGCATGGCCAGAGCCTGCTGGGCAGAGATCCTCACCTTCTCCTTTTGCAGTTTCCCAGCTGGTGGAGGAAACCAGCAGATCCTGCTGACAGGCAGCTCCCAGGTAGCAAATAGTGCAGCAGAACTAAAATAGTTTCAGCCCGAGGCCCTGGGAGCAGGCTGAGGCTTGTCGTGCAGCTATTTTAGCACCATGCAGCTATTTTAGCACTGTGCTGAGAACAGAGCCGTTCCTACAGGTGAGAAAACAAGGGAAAGCAAAGAGGCACTTAGGACGCAAGGACAGAGGTGTCCTGGTGCTTTAGGAACCCTACAGCAGGAGCAACGGTGGTCAGAGCCCTCCCTGCAGGTGAGGGATGCTTTGCATTGGGAACAAAAGGAGCTGAACAAACAACCCAATATTTCATGGCACGGTGACAGCAGGTACCATGCTAAATGGGACGTGCTGATCTCACAGCTGCTGCCTCGGTGCATTTACACAGTATTTCCCTCTTCGGCAATGACTAATGAGGACTGCCTGGGGGTCCCATCCCCTCTACCCCCCGGTTTCAGCCTCAACCCTACGGCAGCTGCTGCCTCGTTGCAGAGCAAACAGTGGCCACTGCCTCTCGGAGCAGCAGATGCGAGGCAGGCCGGTGCGGGAGCTGCTGCGGGGGATTTGCACATCAAAAGCAGCTCTGCCTCCTCGCCCTGTGTGCGGGGCGGTTCGGGCTAATTGCTCTTTCAAAGGCAGCTCCGGTCGTGTCTCTGCTGGGATGTTGGGTCTGAGTGAGCCCCCCCATAGCGGAAAAGTGGCCTAGTGGCACCGAGGTGTTAAGAAAAGATGTAAATCAGCTTTCCTCTCTTTCGAAGCTTATTTCCATCTGCTGATTCGTTCAACAACTAATTCCGGCTCCTTCTGTTGAGCGGGGTTAGGCTCGAGCAGCTGGGGCAGAGCTAATGGGAAGCACCAACCCCACAGCAACCTGTGGTCCTGCACAGAACCATTGCTGCTGCTTTGTCCCCAGCACACAGCACCGGTGATGTGTTGGGTGCCACCGGTGTCACCAGGGCTCACTGCTCCTCAGTGCAGCAGAGGATGCCCCCAGCTTTCTGTGATGTGATTTCCTCCTCCCATTTTGGAAGGGAAAACAATGTGATACAGTTAAAACACTTCTCTGACGTTCACTGGACTGCGTTCCCTGTATCTCTTCTAAGTTCTTTACAGAGGGAGTGGTGAGACTCTGGACCAGACTGCCTAGAGAGGCTGTGGGTGCCCTGTCCCTAGAGGTGTTCAGGGCTAGATTGGATGGAGCACTAGGCAGCCTGGTCTGGTATTAAATGTGGAGGTTGGTGGCCCTGCACGTGGCGGGGGATTGGAGATTCATGATCCTTGAGGTCCCTTCCAACCTGGGCCATTCTGTGATCTCTACCTGTTTTCACAGAGAGGCTGCACTGTTTGGGCTGCTCCATTGCAGAGCACAGGGGTTTTGTCTTCTCCTTTCCATGCTTGCAGCAAGTTGCTGCTTTTCCATGCATGAGTTACACCAGCTAAGCAGAGCATAGGTCAGCCCACCTAGCAAAGGGCTGCAGGTGAGCAGGGCCATGTGGGAGGATGGCTCAGAAGGGACCTTGGTGATGCTGTGATGAATGGGTCTTATCAATTGGGGGATGATGTGCCATCTAGAGATGTGGTGGAAATGCTCTGACCGCTGCTTGGAGGCCCCTGGAGAGCACAGAAATGAGTTTGAAAAAAATTATTTATAAATAAAACCATAAAATTAACCAGTAGTTTACATCAGTCACCGGAAATAACATCAAAAAAGAACCAACAAATAAAACAAACAAACAAAAACCTGCAGAAAAAATAATAATTATCTGTACAGGCTGTGGCCGGCCGGCTGCCAGCTCACACATCTCACACACCTGCAATGCGCACGGTCACACACAGCGTTGTGCAAAGGCAGCAGTGGGCACCTCTGGGCGATCACATCACACAGCATTGACTGCTGGGGATGAGGGGTTGGGATGGTGAGGGCAGGAGTGGGGCTGGGGGGGGGGCTGAGCTCTGCTCCTGTGGTGGGGAGCCCATGGGAGAGGGGCTCTGGCTCGAGTGTGGGTCCCTGATCTGCAAACTTGGGGCTCAGCCGTGGGCTCGGTGGGGATGTGGTGGTTGCTGAGCAGTGCAGAAGGCACAGACTGGTTTCTGTGGGTCACATCTATGGGCGAGGGGTGTTGGGTTGTGCTAGGAATGCCCCCGTGCTTCGTGGCAGGGAGGAGCTTGTCCTGCTCACGGTGGTGGGAGGAAGGATGTATGGCCAGCAGTGAGTGGTGGTAATGGGGTGGGGGCTCAGCCTGGGACTGTGTGACTGCTGTGATGGGAGAACAGGGAAAAAAAAAAGCATTTTTGGTTGCTGTGATTCTAAAAAGGCAGGGAGGAGGCAGGAAGCGTTAACTCTGGATTTTCTGTATAAAATAGATATCCCCTCCTAATGTCTGGGTCATCCCAACCTCTGCTCCCTGGAGCTGGAAGGCACCATCCCTGCGCACTGAGGGTTGCTCCCATGGATGTGAAGTAGTGCATGTGTGCAGGGTCCTCCCCGAGGCACTGCAGGAGCTGGAGGGCTGGAGTGGGACATGTGGGGTCCATAAATAACGGGGGAGAGCAGCTCTATACCCTGTCCAGGCTGCAGCAGGGAACTGGGGCCAAGGGCATCATCCCACTACCGAGCATTTGCCCAAGTCCCATTCCCTGTTTGCCCTCATTGCCAGTCCTACAAGGGTCGGGGGGGAGGGGGGGGGCTGCAGGACATCACCATTGGCACGAGTGGCTTGTTGGCCTCGAACACAACAGGCAGCAGTGAGGAGCTGGCCGGACGCTGGCTCCTCTAAATAAATACATGGCTCATCAAACAGTACAGGGAAGAGGAGTGGGGTCAGATCTCAGTGGCTATGATGTCCTCGTAGGGCACGTCAGCGCCGGGGATGTCCAGCTCAATGGGCTCCTTGCCATCCTCCCCTGCTGCAAGCTGCTGCAGCATCTTCTCCAGGTTCTGGTTCCTCTTGTACATGTGCAGGTAGCTCTGCTGTAACTGCTTCTGATAGTGGATCACCTTCTCCTTTTCCTCCCTCCACGTCTGCCGTTCCTGCTGGAAGCTGGAGCTCATCTGCTCGTTGCTGTCCCGTTCAGCTTGCAGCTCAGCCCGCAGCCTCTCCACCTCACCTTGCAATGCCTGCACCTCACTGGGCCGGGTGGCATCGCTCAGCTGTGCCCGGAGCATGGCCATCTCTGCCCGCAGCTCCACTATCTCCTGCTCCAACAGGTTGACCTTCTCCCTCAGCAGCTCAGACTCGTTCTTCTTGCGCTGCAGCTCGTTCTCACACACCTCCAGCTCCATGGCTTTGGTGCGCAGGGAGCCCTCCAGGTCCTGGGTCTTCATCTCCAGCCCTTCCATCTTGGCCCTCACGTCCTTCAGCTGTGCCTTCAGGCTGAGGATCTCAGTGGTCTTGGTGGTGAGCTCGGTCTGGGACTCCTTCAGCTGCTGCTTCAGCAGGGAGATTTCCCCCGACTTCTGGCACACCTGTGGGAAGACAGTGCTCACATTAAGGCTGTAGTCACGCTGAGATTATCACAGAATCATTAAATGGTTGGTTTGGAAGGGATCTCAAACACCATCAGGTTCCAACCCCTGCCAAGGCCTGATTGCCAGCTGCTACATCCAGCACCAGAAGGGCTGCTAATGGTGTGGATACCAATGGAGAAGAGCTGCAGGGTTTGCTGCCACCCCTCCCATGCACACCTTTGCATCCTCTGTGCCCCTGGGCCTTACCTCCCATTGGGTCTCTTCCAGCGCTGGTGCAAAGCTGGTCTTCTCCTTCTCATAGGACCTCAGCTTGGTCTCCAGCAAATTTTGCTCCTTCATGAGGTTCTCCAGCTCCTCCCGCAGCTGCTGCTTCTCCTGTTGCAGCTGGAACACCTGGAGCTGGAGGACCTGCTGTGTGCGCTGGGTTTTCTGCGAGCTCTGCTTCAGCTTGCTGTTGCACTTCTGCTTGAGCCCCTCCAGCTCTTCCTTGCAGCGCCGCTGCTTCTCCTCATACACCTGGCAGGAGCTGGCTTCCTTCTCCTCGAAGCTCAGCTGTAACTCCTGCAGCTCTCCCTCCCTTTCCAGCAGCTTCTGCTCCAGCTCCTGGATGGTGGACTCATCTGTAGAGATGGGTGAGCGGATGCACGCGGTCTTCTCGGCGGCGCGGTGCTGGGGGGCTTTGCTGGGGTTGAGGATCTTGTTGCCACCGTCGGAGAAGGACATGGCCTTGAGGCTCATCATGTTGCTGTCCTGGATGATGGCACACTGCATGATGTTGTGTGCAGAGCCCCCAAAGCGGCTGATGGGCCCCACGGGGGTGACGATGGGGTCCAGCTGATAGCTGCTGCTGGTGCTGTGGGTTGGCAGGCTGGACATGGAGTTCCTGCCTGAGTCAGACAGCCCTCCTGAGCACAGCGCCGGCTTCAGCTCCTGCTCCTTGCCTTTGTCCAGGGGGTGAAGCTGTGTGGGGAGGTGAGCTCCATTCTCTGGGGTTGAATGGAGGACGGCACTGGAGCGGGGCAGTACTGGCTTGAAGGCGGTGGGTCGTGCCGTGGGTTTCTCCACACCCTGGGGGAAGAGCAGAGCCCATCAGCATAAACCCACCACCATCCCTTCTGCCCCCCAAAGCCCTGCCATAAACCCCAAAGGTGACCACCCCAAGCACCCTATAGGGCAGGGAGCCATGTGTTTAGGGCCCCGTCTACCCTCCTCACCACTTCCAGCTGGCTGGGGAAAGGCATCAGCTTCTGCGGTGTGGGTGTCCCGAAGTCCACCCCGCTGCTCCCAGCCTGGCCCAGCTCCGAGCTGCCCAGCGCGGTGTAGTCCGTGCGGTGGGGGCCAGGTGTCTTCTGGCTGACTTTGATATAAAAGAAGTCCTCATTCTTGCTGCTTTTGGAGCCCGATTTGTGGCCGGATTCCTGGGAGAAGCCGAAGCGGAGCAGCCCGTCTGAGTACCTGTTGAGCTTCTTCAGATGGGATGACTTACGGAGCTTGTACTGAGAGGCACGGCAGTGTTTGCTGTGAAAGCTGTGGCCAGAGATGAGACTACTGACACTGCCCATGCTGCTGCCGGGCAGGTGGCACGCTGGCTGTGATCATAGCAGAGCCCTCGCTGTGCCCGGGAGCTGCAATCCTATGGGAGGCAAAGAGCAGAGTGAGCATCGCAGGGTGGAGGTGGGATGCAGTCTGCACCCAGTGCTGGGAGCTGCTCCTGGAGGTGCAACACTGACAGTATGGAAAGGGTCATGCAAAGGGCATCCCCCGCACGTGAGGGTGCTTCATCACCCTGTTCTCCCCGATTCCTCTTCAATTTTCAGTGCTCCTCTTAACCCACCTGAAAAGGGATGCTGCGAGGCTTAATTACGCTTAATGTTGCTTAATGTCGGCGCAGCACTTAAGAAGAGGAGAGGCATTGTGTGTGTGCTGAGCATTGTGATTAGCGTTCAGAGGTATGCAGAGCATTAATTCCCTTTGCTAAGGGGGGAAAAAAGCAAAAAAAAGGATCAAATCCTGACTCCTGGAGGCCCTCGCAATGCTTGGGTGATCATGGAGATGTGCCTTCCATGGGGTAATTAAAGGGTGAGGTGGGGAGAAGGGGGACAAGCTGCTGGTGGGCGGGTATGAGAGCATAACCAAAGTGAGCTAAATTTGGGTTGCACAGCGAGATGTCAGAGAAAGAGGAATTGTTTGATGGCTGAATCACTTGGGGAGCGTGAGCAATTGGAAGCAGCATGCTCTGCTCTGCATGCAACCTGCTGCATGCAACCTGCTGCACGCTTCCGTGCTTGGTGCTGTTGGTGCTGCACAGTTAGGCTTTGCTCTGGGGTGCCCATAGCACAGAACAATGGGGCACCCTCACTGCCTTCCTAGTAGGAGCTGCTTCAATGTTATCCCCATGTTTTGTCATGTTCTGACTTTCTGTCAGGCTCCTCTGCACCCTAAGCTCGATAACTGCAGCCTGTGCCCGTCCCTCAGCTTGATTTCTTTGCTTTTCCTCTGTGCCCCAAGGACTCGCATTGATTAAGTGTCAAACCAGAGTCCCAGCAAGACGGAAGATCCGCTTTAATCCCTAAATCCGTTTTTTGGGAGATTAAGAGAAGTGAGCCAGCAGCCCGTCTGGATGCTGATGCACTGGAAGTGATCCATGAGTTTGGGTTCATTCATTTTTACAGGGTGAGAGGCACAACGGTGGAGGAAGTATTGCTGCAGGGAATGGGATAACAGCACTGTGTGAGCATCTGCATGGATTTGCGGGTGCCTGCAGCTGGGGAAGAAGTGCTGGGACTTTCCAGCCCCTTGGCAGGAGGTGTTCCCATCCAACCCACGCGTGCCTGGGAGGGTCGGGCATGGCTTTTTTCTTCCCCTTCCCTCTGTCGATTTAATTTGAAAGCTGTGGAGGTGTTGGCATTCAGCACACAGCGTGAGCAGGAAGGAAAAGGCTCTGCAGGCAGCGGGATGGGAGCACAGCAGTGAAGGTCGGGGTGGTGCTCAGAGCCAGGGATTGCCCTGCAGGGGACCACGCACATCCCATGCAGTGCTCAGCAACTGCATTTGCTGCGTGCAGGGGCTCGTGGTGCTGTGAGCAGTGCAGGCTGCCCAGATAGGATGAATTGAGGCTGGACCCGCTCTTGTTTTTTGCAGAAAGAGGGGAAAAAATGAATGGCATGCCACATTCCTTCCAAAATCCAATCATGCCTGCCCTGCAATCACGCGCAGGAGGGCAGCTCTCCCTGCAGATTGCAGGAATTTAATCTTATCTCCTGGCAGCACGGCTTCTTTGAAGCCTTTCCCTCTTCCCTGCAAAGCCTTCACGGGCAGTTGCTTTCTCTCACCTTAGTGAGAGCCTTCGTTCCTTCACAGCATTGCTCCTTCCCTGCTGTTCCTGTTCTTCCCCTCCAGTATCTGAGCTCTTCCTTCTCCCCTGCACCCTCTCGCCTACTCTTTTTCCCTCTCACATTATTATTCATCATTTCTGTGCAGATGCGCCCACACATTTGGGTGTTTGTTGGGAGGTGCACGGATAGCACAGGAGCAGAAGCAGCAGCTGCCAAGAGCCCAGATTCGGGAGCAGCATCCTTCCTCTTTCTGTCGATCACTGCCAGGTGATGCGCCCATGTTTTGCTCAATGATTTGGGTCTTTGAGACACTCAGAATGTGGCCCCAGGGGGGAAACGTGGGGATTTCCAATGGGAAAAGCAATGCATGTGTTGCCTGCAGCATCTGATTAACGACTTAATGAAGAGGCGGCTCAATCCAAAACTTAGAGAGCAGCGATCTCACTGGCCTGGGGTTGAGATCTGGAATCAAATGGTTTGGATTTCAGGCAAAGTGCTGATCCCACATTCTCATTGCTAGCAAACACCACACCAGGGAGCTGAACAGACCATGTGTGAGCATCCATGGGGTGAGCATATCCATGCCTATGCCCAACCCAACTCCCCGTGCCCAGCTCCTCCAACCCTCTTTACTTTGGTCCCCATGGAAATGGCAGCTATAAGGCCTGGAGAGCCCCATCAGCAGCACCGACCTTGCCCCCACCCCGTGATCCTCACCCTCATCGCACTAATGGGAATGAACTCCACACAGCCCAGGCAGGCGCTGTCCTTTGCGGTGCTGCATTGTGGCTCGGTGCTGGCAAAGGGCCCCACGACAAGGCTTTCATTCACTCTAATTCATTGTCCCCCTGCTCATTCATTGACATTCATTGGGATCATTTTGATCGGAGGCAGCGAGTGAATTGCAGCGGGGCTCACAAAGCGCGCACCATGTGTTCTGCCCTGATTTGCCATTAGTGAAGGGGGACACTCCAGATGAAGAATAACCAGCCTCAATTACATGTTACATCCACTCTAATAGCCCAGGAGTCCATCACACTTAATGTTATTTCAATGAACACTGGGAGAATTCACACCCCCCTGGCTGGTGCTTGTTAGAGGAGCCAGCAGTGCCTTTGGCAGAGGGTTTGGTGGGCTCAGTGCCAGAGTGGCAGCCGTAACATGTGCTGTGCCAGTGTCCCCTGGCAGCTGGGCTCCTGGAGATGAGGGTTTGTTGCATTGAGCAACTACAAAGAAATCCAGACCCGCTTTGGAACTCGTTGGCAGCACCGAGTGCTGCTTCCTTGCACCCAGGTCCTGCAGAATGTCTCAGGTGCTCTTTATTTCTGCAGAATTCAGCATCAGCATTGGGAAGAGCAGAAGGAGCTGCAGGCACCTGCGTAGCGTGCAGCCTGGTCCTGACCTGGGGTGAGCCCACAAGTGGCCTTAATGGGCGTTGGTGTGATGATGTAGGTGGCATTGAGGCGCCTGGATTAAGCCACGATGAGGGAACCCAGTACTAGGGTAAGAGGAATTTCTTGAATTAACAATGAATCATATTGGCAGAGCGAGCTGGAGAGGATATTGACTCAACACCCGCTGCGCAATGCCTCCTCTCACTCTGTCTGATCCCTCTGTGGGGAAACCACTGCGTTTCTCTGAGCAGAAACCCTGCTGGAGGCAGGGAGAGGCTCCTGCACTGCTGGGGACGATTGCACAACCTGCAGAAATACAAGTCAGCAAAGCCTGGACTTCAAGTGTCTGCATTCCTGCAAAGCCTTGTGCTTTCTCTGCAGCTAATGCTTACTGGACAGTTCGCCTACACTAATAGCACAGGCAGGTGTGTGGGCTACAGAAGTGACAGATCTGTCTCTCTAGCCCAAGAGAGACTTAAAAGCAAGACAAACTTGGTGCTGGATAGCTGCAGCAAGCAGTTATACTCAGGAAAAGCTGTGATTTCTGGTACCCAAGGATGTTGGTGCCCAAGGGGCTGGTTCCCATAGGAGATGGTGCACAAAGAAGATGGTGCCCAAAGGAGATGCTCCCAAAGGAACTGCCCTACAACACACTGCACTCAGAGCTCCCCAGCTCAGAGATGCACTATCCAACAGCGTTGCTATGTGAGCTTATGGTGAAGGACCATCTCCCAGCCTTCACCTGGCCGTGCACAAAGAACCCCAGCTGTGCCACACAGGAGCTCCCTGAGCTGCTCCAGCTTTGTCCCTCTCCCATAATGGATGGACCCTGGCACTTGCTGGTGAATCAGCAGCCGAGCAGCACCCACATGTCCCCACAGTCATGTTCCCAGCACAAAGGAAATGTTTGTATGAGACATACTTAAAAATTCCTTGGGTGGGGAGAAAGATCCTTTCAGCTCGCTTCACTCCTAAGAGCATCTGGCTTTTCCTGCTAACAAGCAACAAATGCTGCAATTAAAGCCCTGCTAATTGGGAACGCAGAAATGCTCAGGTCTGGTGGCACCCAGGATTCTTCTATTGAGCTGTGGGGTGGGGATTTTGCACCCCCAGGATGGGAGTTGAGAGGGCTCTATGGGGTTGGCAGGTGGGAAGCGGTCGCGCCGTGCCCAGGAGCTGTGGGCTGCTTATTTTGGGAACCGTCTGGGGCCGGCAGCTGGTGCTGGGGTGGGTGACAGCTGAGCATGGCTTTCACTTGGGATCTGCGAGGCCCCTTCTCGCGCATCTATTTCCGACCCTGTAAAACACAATCTGTCAGGGTGTGAGGATGGAGGAGGGGGTGGGCACCCAAAAAAGGGGGGCTGGCAAGGGGCTGCCTCGCCTGGCAGGTGCCCCTGAGCGTGGTTGGGATGTGCAGAATGCTGTCCTTCCATCCCCACAGCTCAGCAGAGAGTGTCTGTCCCACACGTCTTCCGTGAGCTTTTTCCAGGATCTCATTGATGCAAAGGATGCAGCCAGAAATAGCAAAAGCTTCACGTAACCAGAGATGTGCCCTAAATACGACTCCTCCAGGCTTTCCGTTCCATGGGCTTTGCGTGCATCTTCCTCTGCCCCCCAATCATGGGTACAGCATGAATGAGTGATGGGGTGTCTGTTACCCACTGGGTTCTGCCAAGGTGGGAGCACCAAGGGTTTCTCCCATTCCCCCAAACTGCCAAAAAAAACCCCAAAAAACAACCCAAACTGAGGCTCTTTCTGTTGCAGCCCCCCCAGAGCACACAGAGAAGCATCCTTTCCATGGACAGGGAAAAATTTAGAACTGAAGCTGTGGGCTGCCATGGAGACCAGCCTCCATCTGCAGTGCTCTTCTTGCCTCCCCCCCCCTCAGCAGACAGAGGAGCAGCCAGGAGCCCTCACTGCCTCCATGCTGCTGCCCCTTCCCCTCCCATGGGCTTTCAGCAACTTTTGGGGCTACAAAAGCAAATCCACATTCTCTGGGTGCTCTGCTAAGTGCCAGGAGGGGAAATAACTGGTCTGGATAGCTGAGCACTCTCAACCCCTGAACTTAGCAAGAAGGCTGAGTATCAGGGAAAGAATTTTTCTAAGGTAGGGCTTCATGTCTGCCACCAAACCCAGGCTCTGTGTTAAGCCCACATCACCTTCCCAGCACCCAAGGTACAAAGCAAAGCCACGCACTCCTTCTGCACCATCCTTCCCTGTCTGCAGCACCAGTTGTGCTGTGATTTCTCTCATTCTGGGTATTTTTGTACCCCACACAGTGCTCAGCCAAGAGGGAGCTGAGAAAAGGCAACTTCTGCCTGCTGACAACAAGCCAGGCTCCGTCCCTGCCGTGCAGAGCATCTGCTGTGCTGCCGCTGTCTGCTCATCTCCTTCAGCTCCTTTTGCTTTCCAGAGCATTACAGTCCCCCCCATCCCTGCTCTGCTCAACTGCTTCGGTGCAGCAGCCACAGAAGGGAAAAGAAAAGGCAAATTCATTTCTCGCTTCCTATTTCCCTCCTCCTCTTTTTTTTCCCAAATTGGCCCATTGCGCATTCCACCCCTTTAATGCCTGGCTGCCAAATGGAGCAGTTCTTTCCAAAGAGAAATGCACATCAAAGTTGCAAGGAATATTCAATTAACCTTTAAATAAGATCATCCACAAGTGGCTGATGGAGATGGTGTTTGATTGTTAAAAAAAATAAACACAGCCGCTTGCATTTCAGAGGGGCATTTCTGTGATACAGCTCTGCCTTTTGCTGCTGTTATGGCTGATGTTTTGCTAAAAGGCAATTAAATATTGAGATACGCCTTCCAACTTTCCCTCTGACACCATTCTCTTTGCTTCTGCAGGATTGGAAGTGGATGCATTTCTCCTTTCTGCATGCAGGAAACCTCAACAAAATGCCACTGCGCAGCAGAAGGGAGATGCTTGCTCCAAAGGTGAGGATCTCTAACAAGTAATTAAGAACCCCTTTATCCCAAGGAGGACAGCATCCTCATGCATTGCTACCCTCTGCTGGAAGGAGTTGCCTCGGAGAAGTCTTGCAATAGGATAACAGAGATTGCTTTTAACTCAAGAGGAGAACTTTGCAGGAGGAAGAGGAAGGTCTGAACACAGCGCTGCTGCCTGGAGCTCCCAGCTTGCAGAGTGCTGCAGGGACAGCAATCCCAGCCCTGCTTGTGCAACAGCGTGCCCCTTGCTCCTGCTTTTTCCCCTCCCTAACAAAGCAATGGCCACTCATGCACACACCCAGCACATCCACAACCAACCCACTGAGCCTTCCTGCTCTAGGGGGCCCTTTTCTTAACACCACTCCGAAACACCCATTGCTGGCAAACAGCCCCTGCAGGAAATCCTCTGTGACCCACGTGCCAAACCTTCATGCATTCCCTGCTATTTTTAACTCAGCCCCAATGGCAACCACCCACATTGCTCCTGCCCACTGCCGCCTGCCTGCAACCCTGCAGCAGCTCACAGCCCCCAGACTGCAATGGTGAATTGGGCAGAGGGGTTTCAGCACCTCCAGCAGAACTATTTATCAGTGTATGCAGCATTCAGGGACTTCAGCAGCAGTTTGCTGCAGCAGTGCTATTGTCACGCTTATCCACACAACACTTTGTGGTGTTGGGGGGGACCAGGAGCTCTCACTGCTGCAGATGGAGATGGGTTTCTGAATGGTCACAAAGGAGGTGGGGAGCTGCTCCAGCTCTCTGCTCCTGGTAGCACAGAGCCTGCTTGGTGGCTGCCCACCTCCTGAATGCCTCGGATGCCTCACCTGAGTGTGTGCTGAGCATGACTGTACCTGCCTGCAGCAAATAAAGGCTTTTCAGGAGAGGAAAACAGCGATTGAGGGTGAACGATAGCATCGGAGTCAGGAGGGACGAGATGGGACAGAAGCTCTGGGATGCCCCAGCCTGCATCCCAGCATCTGCTGGTGTCCCTTTCCCATGTTCCCCCTGCTTGGGTCTGGGTCTGCCCTTGTCTGTATGGGCTGCCTGCTCTGCCTGTTGGTTCCTTACACCCCTCCCTTTTCTTGAAATCTCCTTTCCCTGAGCCTCAAATTCATTCGCCTCCCACCTCTCCGCAGTGCCAAGGAAGAGTGACTAAGGGGTGGGTGGAAGGAACGGCTCAGGACTGATTTAGCAGCCCCAGTGCCAGGAGGAGGGGTCAATAGAGGCACAGCTGGGGGCACACAGAGCCCAGTGGGAGCCACGAGCATCCCCCGCAGCGCCCGATTGTGCTCCCGAGCTCACTTTTGCAGCTGCCATTAATTGCCCCCTCCGCTGATTGCTTGCGCCGATGGTTTTTTGCTCTTGTAATTCTTTGTCCCGCTGATTAATGGCCCCGGTGATTAATGGCAAGGGGGGTTCTGCGGGTCCTGGGCTGGATGGAGGTGTGAGCCCATGGCCGTGAGCGCAGCTGGCGGGGTAGGCTGGGGGCAGGCAGCCAGGCAGGCTCTCGTGCTGATTATTTCAAAAGGAAGGTTCGTTGGCGTCTGGAGCGATGCTATCAGTGAGACTGATAGCAGAGACTTTGTTTCCTGCTCGTGTTGCACTTGCTGCAGCCTTCAAGGAGGAAAACAAGCTCTCCGGAAGAATCTGGACAACCATAGGAACTGCTGCATGAACACGAGCCTGCTTAGGAAAATGGGTCAGGTGCTGTTCCCTGTGCTGAGTTCCCAGGTCTCAGCACACTTGTCAGCACCAAAAGGCCCTCAGACTGGTGTGCAATGGTGAGGAGGTGCCTGGGGCACAGCACTGCTGGGGGGTCAGCCAAAGGGGACAGCAGGAAACCAGAGTCCCCAGCAGCAGTGATGCAGATGGGACTGGGGAAGGTCAGCTATGGGGGTACAGGTTGGGGCTCCTCCACATCCCTGGGTCAACAAATGTGTGTTGGACCCACTGGGAGCTGCATCAATGAGCAGATAAATACTCCTGAACCAGGAGAAGGAGAGTCCCTGAGGGTATCCTGCCCTTTGGAGACAGGCAGGTGCAAACTCCTAGGGAAGAAGGGAGTGCAGTGCTGGGGCTGAACGCTGTCCCTGTGAGGCTCTGTGGAGCTGGTGAGAAGGGAAGACCCAAGCTGACTCCAGTCACAGCCACAGCAACAGTGCCTGAGCTCTGTTTTTAAGGGCAAAGATGAATCGCTGGCTTTCCAGGATCTGAGAGCTCTGCATCCTCTGCTCAGCCGTGACCTCCCCCATGCATTTACGTGCACACACACACACAAACACAGAGGAAAGCACCGGCTGACACACGACCGGCAGTGCCCAGCTGTAGGCTCACACCCAGCATCCTGACACCATCAGCCCTCGCACACGGAGGAACCCAACACCTGCACAAACCACAGCCTCCCGCACAGCAGCCCTCTGCACCCACGCCGCCCACCCGCTCTCCCCACGCTCCCCCGGCAAATAATATCCGACGCCAGCACGGCACGATGCTCACAACAAACCAAAGGCAGATAGACGTCCATCTGCACGTTTCCCAAAGAGTTCGAGAGCTGCACAGCCAGCAGCAGCCCGACCCGAGGTGCTGAGCACGCACAGTTCCCCCTTTCCTTGAAGTTTGCCACTCTTCGGATGGAAGCGATGGGGCAGAGCCGAGCACAACAGCCGCGGAGGGGTGCGCGCAACCGTGGCCGCGCTCGCGTTACGGTGCCGGAGACACCCGCAGGACCCCCGGGGACGTGGGGGTACCCGAATCCCGAAGCTCACGGCTGGGAGCGATGCTCGCTGCCGTGCGGGGCCGCCCGCTACCCCCGCGCCGCAAAGCCCTCCGCTCCGTTCCGCCCCCCTACCCGGAGCTCCCCGTCCCCCGACGGCTCCCCGTCTCCCCGCACCGCCTCCGGTCCCGATGGGTTCCCACCTCGGGTGGCCGCAGCCCGCAGAGCTCCGCGGGGCTCCCGGTGCGTGCCCGGCAGCAGCATCCCCGCTCGGAGGCGGCGGAGGAGGAGGAGGAGCCCGGAGCCCCGCGCATCGGCCCGCCCCGCTGCATCCCCCGGCCTTTGTGTCCCGGCCGTGCCCCCACCTCCCCCCGCCCCACGGCCGGCTCAGGGTGTTCGGGGAGGGATAGGTTGATTTGCTCCCCAGACTTGGAGCGTGGAGGGGGTTAAAGGAGGACAAGAAGTGCTCGGGTTGAGCGCCTGGCACCGTCGGTGCCTCTGAGAGCTCAGTATGGAGAGAGCCCGGAGCTCCGAACAGCAGCCGGCGGTGGGGGGTGCAGCTCTGCTCGACCTCGTTCAGGGCAGGGGCTGGGAGGGTAGACTCTGCTTTCTCCCGGCCTGGATCACACCATTCCCCAGCCACATTCCCCATCCTCAGATACAGGAAACTGAGCTGTGGGGCCATGGTCAGAGCTGCCTAAGAGTTGGGAGGGGAAACTGAGGCACGGTACCTGCAGATCTGCACCAGCTCCAACAGACTCAGGGCCAGCCAAGCTGCCCAGCAGCAGCAGAGGAGCCTCCCCTTGCTCAGCTCGATGCTCAGTGAAGTGGCGTTGGCTCTGCAAACAACCCCTTCCATAAAGGTTCATGCATGCCCATCTGCATGCATTTACTGGATGGAAAGGCAAATAAATGCAGGACGTGAGGAGCTGAGCTTCTGCAACATGCACACCACTGCCACTTTGCAGTGCTGGGCCTGGCAGGGATCTGTGCCCAACCTGACTTTCAGGCAGCAAAACTGCCCCAAACACAGCAAGCTGAGGTCAGCACAGGCAGAGAGCTGGGAATTACTGTGCCATGGGGCAGACTGTGGAATCAGGCCCTTGAGACCTCCTCTTTCACGCTGGATGGTGGGGAGGGATGCTCTACAGAAAAAATCTGAGTAGTTGTGCTAAATCTCCTCCCTGAAGATTTCTCCAGCTCTGATTTCTTCCATTGTAGCCAGAGCCATGCTGCAGGTTTCATTACATTTCCACATCCCTCCTCTCCGTCTTCTCCTGAGTAGCTCTGTTTGCCTCCTCCTTGCTTCCTGGGTCACTCATCTCATCCCAACCCGGGCAGCTTTCCTGCCTGCTGGCCGTGCCTCAGGCTGACGCAGCACTCAGGAATGCACACACTGACTTAGCAGCACATCAGAACTTGCCCCATGCACAGTGCTGCGTGGCTGCATCTCATCCAGGTGTGCAGCGAGCAAAGCTGCTCCAGCACTGCAAGAGGGAGCAACAAGTGGGTCCCCAACCTCGTGTCAATGCGAGAAATGGGTTGGGGGAAACAGAAAGCAAGCCAGCACGTTGCTAAAGCCTCATGGCCAGGGATGAAGTCAGTCCCAAAGTGGTTGCGCACTGTGCTCCCATCTGCCCACAGCATCCCACGGGAGCAGACTCCTGGCGCTGCCTTTGGCACAGCTCAAGGACAGCCCAGGCTTTGTGCCAGGGTTTGCTCAGTCCCTGCTCACACGCTGCAAACACTGCAAACCGGAGCGGTGAGCTCTGCCCCAGCCCTGCCCCGTGCTCAGGTGTTGGAGAGGTGCAGCACTGGGGTGGAGCAGAAAAGCAATGAGGGCTCAGCTCCGCTCAGACCGCAGCGCTTTGATTTATGGCAGATGAGATCCACCCCCCCCCCCGTCTTTTTTTAATATTGTTTCCTGGCAGCTTCGTTAGTTTCTCTGCTGATTTGAGCAATGCTCCCACAATCCCGCGGGCGCCTCGTTGCCTTGAAAGCAGTCAGCTGGAATTTGCTATTTTAGGAGCGAGAAATTGGAGAGAGGAAGAAGAAGGAGAAGGAGACGGAGAAGAAAGAGAAGAAGAAAAGCGTATTCCTGTGAGTGCAGAGGAATGATTTAACAGGATTTCAGTCTAGGGAAAAAGGCATAAAAAAGAATTACGATTCGTTTGTGTTCGAATGGGGCTTCATGTTTCTACAGTAAGTCATAACAAAACAAGGCAGCAAAGCCAAGAAGTTATCTGTACCAGATGGGGCAGCGGTTGTGTCTGCAGCTTTTCAGGAATCGTCCTGACCTGGGGCAGATTGTGCAGTGATGGAGCTCAGTGTGCAGCCCTTATCCTGGAGGGGGGATGCTGTGTCACCTCGCTGCCCCCCTGGCATGGCAGCCCCATTGGCAGCGGCTCCTCCTGGGCTGTAAATTGCCCTCCCCGACCCATCTGTCCTGCACAAGCCAGCACTCGTCCCAGCTGCTGTGCCCTCACCCCCTCAAACGAGTCTGACTCGTGGGGCCACCTCACCTCTCAGCCACATGGAATCTTTCCCAGCATGAGGCAACTCGGGGAAGAGCAGCAAAGGGCACTCGTGGAGCAGGATTCATTGCAGGGCTCATTACAGGGATCATTGCAGGGCTCATTACAGGGCTCATTGCAGGGCTCATTGCAAGGATCATTGCAGGGCTCATTGCAGGGATCATTGCAGGGCTCACTGCAAGGATCATTGCAGGGCTCATTGCATGAATCGTTGCAGGGCTCACTGCAGGGGTCATTGCATGGATCACTGCAGGACTCATTGCAGGGCTCATTCCATAGATCATTGCAGGGCTCATTGCATAGATCATTGCAGGGCTCATTGCAGGGACCACTGCAAGGGTCATTGCAGGGATCATTGCAGGGCTCACTGCAGGGATCATTGCAGGGCTCATTGCATAGATCATTGCGGGGCTCAATGCATGGATCATTGGAGGGCTCATTGCAAGGATCATTGCAGGGGTCATTGCAGGGATCACTGCAGGACTCATTGCATGAATCATTGCAGGGCTCATTGCATAGATCATTGCAGGGCTCACTGCATGGATCATTGGAGGGCTCATTGCAAGGATCATTGCAGGGCTCATTGCAGGGATCACTGCAGGACTCATTGCATGAATCATTGCAGGGCTCATTGCAGGGATCATTGCATGGATCACTGCAGGACTCATTGCAGGGCTCACTGCATGGATCATTGCAGGGCTCATTGCAATGGATCACTGCATGGATAATTGCAGGGATCATTGCAGGGATCATTGCAAGGATCATTGCAGCAATTGCTGGCACTCCCAGCCACTGCTTGGGCAGATGCTGCTGATCACCCTCCTGCATACTTGCCCCTGCACAGCCCTAAGTGATTTTGTAGATTGAATACAAGTCCTGTTTCCTTTGTATTTAGGTTGAAAGATAAGCAGTAATCATAAAGTGGGTTTTTTTGTTTTTTGGTTTTCTTTTGCTAACAGGTTATTTACAAATCCATTGAAATTAGGTATAATATAATAAAAAAAAAAGCTCATGCCAATTTAAGGGAATTACAAGAGAATAAGATCAGCACTAAAAGCAAGGAGTAGGTGTATTTAATGGCTCGGAAGCAATACTGGAAGCAAGGATGGGAAAAGGAACCGAACCCACGTGGTGCTCCAGAGGAACTTCAGTTTGTGGTTTTTGAGCAGCGGTGCAGGAACCCAACCTGGGCAGCACAGGAAGGGCAAGGACCACGCTCAGCACTCCCAACAGCAGCTGTGCTGAGCACTGAGCTTGGCACAACCCTCCCAGCCCAGCAGTTCTCTCATCAGGAGGGATGAAGGCTGAGTTTCAACCCCAGCCCCATTCAGACCCTGATTCCACTGTGTTGTGCTCAGGGGTTTTGCTCCCAGGCAGTTTAGCAGTAACAAACAGACCAAAGGTCATGAGAAAATGGCATCAAACCCGAGCTCGTAAAGGCAGCCTGAAATTTCCTCTCCCACTTCTGGGATTCATCCGTTCCTTTCCCATTAAAATTAATGATAAGAGCTCATCCATTTCTCGGCTCCTTGGTTGCTCTGCAGCTTCTTCCTTTGCTCGATGCTAAAACAGAGACAAGCCCAGACCACATCCCCAGAGCCTCAAAGCAAAGTTTGCTTTTGCAGTTAAACAAAGCAGCTTCTCCCTGCCCGACAATGTTGCAAAACATGGATATGTTATTGCACGGCTCTCAGTATTGATCTGTGGTGTTAATCTGAGGATCTGTGCTGGTCACACGGCCAGGTCCTGCTTTCCCAGCCCAGTTCTCATGCAGTAGGGATTCCTCTTAAGCACCATTCCACTGCAGGGGCTCTGAAAGCAAACGAAGTTTCTAGTGCTTAGGATTTTGTACTGAGAATGGGAGGAATAATAAGAAAAAAAGGACCCAGCTTCCTCTCAGGACTATTCAGCACAGTGCTCAGCTCCGTTTGCTTCTGCTTCATCAGCCTCCAAACCCAAATCCCCCTCAATAATTCAGCAGAGCTGCTGCTTGCATGTCTAAATAATTCATCCCGGAGCTTTGAGGAGGAAAACGTGGTTACATCACCCTTCAGAGTTCTGCTCTGGGGCTCCCTGTGCCTTTCCTGAGCAGATTTCCTCTGATCAGAGGATGCTCTGCTTGTGCTGAGGGCTTTGTGGGGAATGGAGTTCTGTGCAACCTCATGCATCGGGGATGGGAGCAAAGGGAGCAAAAGGGAACAAAAAGGGAGTAAAGCAGAGTAAAGAGGGAACAACTCCACGCTCCTTTGCTCCATCCTAAAAGCACTAAGGGATCCATGGGCTGTCTCCAGGAGACAGAGGGAAGGAAACGAGAAGGGATGTGCTGTTTGGGTTTGTTTTCTCCAGGGGCTGAGGATGAGAGCAGCTGTGGTGGGGTCGGGGCCGCCAGGCAGCAGCGTGGCACAGCGCAGCGCTGTGTTTGCAAACCCTGCTCACGGAGCTGACTTCTCCCACGGGGTATCACTGAGCAGCTCCTGCCAGCAGCCGGCTGCTCTCCGGATCAGCAGACATATGGGCTGTTTTTCCAAGGGGCTGTTTCAATTAAAAATTCCCAGGGCAAAGCAGCGATGATCAGCCCAGCTGAGGATGGAGTGGCTGCAAAGGGCATCTGTGCAAGCGGAGCAGCGCGGCGCTGTCCCCGTGCGTCGTGGTTTCAGGGCTCTGTGTCGTAGCATGCATCATGCTGGAAGCATTTTGCTTAAAT